TAATTATAATTATAATTATAATTATTATTATTATTATTATTTATTATTATTATTATTATTATTATTATTATTATTATTATTATTTAGAGATTAGACGCATGCACGCATATTTTATATATAAATATATAATAAATACTATGTATTCAATTAAAACAAAAATTAAGAAAATATGGAAGGGATTTATCTGTCCTTTTCTTTTCCAGATGTAGCCATGATTACCATAGAAATAAAAATAATTTTGATTCATTTCTCTATCACTAGAAAAAAAAAATTTTTTTTTGAATTTTAGAAAAATTAAAAATTAAAAAAAAATGTCTCAAACAGCCAAAGTAACTTTAGTATCAGCATTAATACTTACCATAGGAACAGTTTGGGGTGTTCACTATTTACAAAGAAAAGAACGAGAGGTAAGTTATATATAATTTCACAAGAAATGGGGGTTTTTTTCTTTTCTCGCTTTTACTTGACTTTATTTAAACATAATCTGAATAGTTTATGCATGCAGGAATATTAAGAGAAGAGGAGCAAAAATCCAAAAAAGAAATCATGGAAAAAAATAAATTGGAACTTGAAAAACAAATTATGTTACAACGTGAATATGAACAAATTCAACCAGTACTAAAAAACAACAATAATGATAATAACATTAAATAATTCCAATCGTTTTTATTTATTTATTATTAACCTTTTTTAATTCTTTAATGCCAATTATCTTCATTCTTTGCTATAATCGCCCCAGTTTTCATGGATCTCTTTAATACTCTTATATATTTTAATGTCATAAATTTCTATATTAATAATCGCGTATTTTTTGGCAGTATCCACAGAAAACAATTTGAATATACACTGTGGGAGGATACAAGCTTTTTAATCATTAGCAATGTATATATAAACAACAACATATTATTATTTTAATTTATACAAAAATCTTTTTTGAAAAAATATATAATTAACTAAAAAAATTTTTTAAGCAAAACATTCCAATAATTTATTCATTATCCATTCATCCATCCGTTAAATTAAAAGTGTCATTTAAAAGTAATTCAATAGCTGCATTAACATTTCCACCAGAAGCTAATAATGCGCGAATATTTTTCTGTGCATCCCAAAAACCCATATCGTTCAATTGTTGTAATTGAACTTGAAATCTTTCTTCGGGTTGTTGTGGGATAGTTGTTTGTGGTGGAACGTCTCCCCCCAATCCAAATAACAACGATGGATCAATTGAAAAAAATGGTTGTTGTTATTGATTATTAGTGTTTAGATTCCCAGTAAGATTTATTGTGGCAGCAGGATTAAGAAGACTAAAAAAAGGATTATTAATTGGTGGTGGAATGGCGGTGGTGGGTGTGGTAGTGTCAGTCGTTGGTGATTTAGCACTATTATCATTATTATTGGTCGATGGTGTATTTGTTGTGTCAGTTGTAGGATTCATTGTGGAAGGATTTGTAGGAAGCATACTTGGACCATAACTTCCAGGGTTACCCATTAATGAACTTAAAGTTGCTGTACGACGAATTGATTCTGGATTTGATAATAAAGAATGAAATTCAGGATCTTGTGTTACCTGCCTAAGTTGAGGTGCCATGCTTGCAAGTTGTGGATTCATAGCAATTACATTATCTGTGAATTGAGGATCTTGCATTAATTGTACAATGTACTGCATTAAAGCAGAGTTATTAAGAATATTTTCCGTCTGATTCCAGTTTGGTATACTATTATTACCACCACCACTAAATGAATTATTAGTATTAGTACCAAAATTCCCCCCACCTAGTGTTGCACCAAATGGAGGTATATTATTTTGATCATGTGTTGATTGGTTATTGGTAGTATCTGTTGTTGTTGTTGGTTAAGATGAAACTAATAATGTTTTGAAAAACAAATCAATATGGTAAATAATAGAAACACTTGGCTTTTAATAAACATCTTGTTTTATAAAAACAATATAATAGAAAACATTTAACATACCACGAGCTAAACTTCTCACCATGTGAACTGTGTGTCCCTCAGCAATTTTACAGGTTTCAAGTGTATCATCATCTTTTAACACTTTACCAGAGTATATTAATCTTTGTCTATCTGCAGTAATGTCGCTTTTTTCTACAATAAATTGTTTAAATTCTAAAATAGTTTTTGATGTGTCTATAGTTATTGTATATTTTATATCATTAGAACACTTTACGTTATTGTCATTTCTGGCATTATGGTTTGTTTATTTATTTAAAAAAAAAACATTAAATCGTAATATTATTTGATTTAGAGTGTTTTTTGTCCTAATTCATGACCGTTATTATTATTAGTAGTAATAATATTATAATGTGATCATTCCGAATTGGGGCAACCGAATTTCGGACGGATTCAATTTTGGGGCACAAAGTTTGACCATAGTAATAAGGTAATTATTAAAACTGTTGACAAGATTTTTTTAAAAATTAGTTAAACATAAAAAGAAAGTGCCAGTTTCAAAATGAGGTCAAATGTTATGATTCAAAGATATATATATGTATGTGTAAATTGTAAATTCTAAATAAAAAAAAACTAAATTTTTACAAAATGGCACAGACTTATAATGCCAGCGGACAATTCCTTGAGGAAACCTCAGGCATAGAACATAATATAAACACAATTCAAAAAAACATTGAAAGTATTCAAACGTTACAATCAGTTGTTCTGCTGAGTACTTCAGCACAACAGGAGGATATCAATATTCAAAAACGTGAAAAGCTTATGTCGAGTACCAAAAATCTACTTATTGAAACCAAAGATCGTATTAAAAAAATCGAATATGAAAATGTTAAATTACCAAAAGATGATCCAAATATCAACCTTAGAAAACAAAGATTTCAGTTTCTCAAAGAAAAATTTACCAATGTGCTCGACAATTATCGTGATGTTGAAAATACTTATATGAGACAACAAAAAGATAGAATGACACGTCAATATAGAGTTGTCAAACCACATGCAACTCAAAATGAAATCGAGAGTTACTTGAACAATCCATCAAGCCAACCGCTTTTTCAACAAGCTGTAACTACAGGTGAAGCTCGTGCAGCATTTGCAGAAGTTCAAAAACGTCATGGTGATATAAAACAGATTGAAAAAACAATCGAGGAATTAGCAGATTTATTCCGTGAAATGCAATTACAGGTGGAGGAACAAGATGCTATGATTTTAAATATCGAAGAATCTGTCGGTGATACCCTTGAAAAGACTAAACAAAGTAAATATTATATTTATTTAATCGCGTCTGATGTATATATAGATTAAAAATGCACGCTTGCGAATAAATAAATAAAATTTTTTTAGGTGAAAGCTTTCTTGAAAAAGCACGCGAGAGTGCAACTCAAGCAAGAAAAAAGAAATGGATCTTTTTAGCAATTATAATTACCGTTATTCTTATAATTGTAATAATTATAATAATGCAATTTGGTGTTAACGTAAGTGTACAAGCTTCATCTCCATCTGCAGTTACTGTGACAGCAAGTCCTTCCGGATTATTTCCTTCAACCCCCTAATAAAGCACATATATTCATATTGTATACTTACTATATGATTGATTATTCATATACCTTTTAATTTTAATAATTAATTTTTTTGATTTTTGTAAATTTTAATTTAATTTATTTTCTTTTCCAAAAATAATCCATTATTTAAATTATTTAAACAACCATTCAAAAAATTTCTACTTGACATTATTGTTTAAAGCATATAAATAAATTTTATTGATTTATAATAAACAATGATGATAAAATAAATAAATATGAAATATTATGCTATTAAATTAAATGAAGGAAAAACTTGAAAAACAATTGGTTAATGAGGATAATGTTAAATACATATATGGCAAAAACAATCAATATATTAATGAAGTTAAACTTTGAATATTAGAGTCATTGTTGGGGGGGATGAGGCAAAAGCATTTTAATATTAACTATTTTGTATATATAAAATTTTGAAACAAATGATGCAAATACCAAAAAAAAATGAAAATTTAACACTCCTGGTTAGCTGGTAGTTTTAAGTGGTTGATATAAATAAACACGTGTAACAGAAAAAACAACGCACCTTTTCCATAGATCTTTTGGAATATTCTGAAACGTAATTGGATTGAATAAGCCACACGCACAATTCATCCATCCATGTATAACGGCCGATTTTTACCACCTATCTCATAATACTAATTTGTACAACATTTATTTGCTAAATTTAGATGCGTCATTGTTCACATGGAAAAAATTTTTTTCTGCTAAATGGCAAGAAATCGACAAGGATAGTGATAGAATGTGAAGTAAGGATTTTAATTCGTGTAAACGGGAGAATAATGGATTTTTATTTAACGGTCATATAAAGATTATTCTAATGAATAACACGAGAAAACAAACTTTCATGAGCAATCAAGTACAAAGTTTTGCCCATGACTCATGTCCCTATTCATATAAGCGAAAATTTTTTTTTACGCCAGATTGACATTTGAGATTTTTTTTGAGGGCTAACAATTTTTAGAAAATTAATTTGATTAATAATAATTTGCTAAAAATCTTCAACCAAATTTGTATGGCTGTATGCTAGACAAATTTAAAATTACATCATTCGTATTTTAATATTTTATATATAAAAAACTCGGCTTTGCCTTTATTTTATAAATTACCGCAGTAATATTTATATTATTTTTTTCTCGGTGAACTTCGGACTATTTAAGTATAGGTGGCGTGAATAAATTCTCTTTATATTTATATTTATATTTATTTATATTTTTGTAATTCAAATTAATTTATTATTAATGACCTTATTTATACTATTTATACACATTTATAACTATTGATTATATTATAAACTATATTTAGTTTCCAAAAAAAAATATAAAAAAAAGAAAAAATCTTCTAGGGAGAAAAAACTCAAATTTTGATTGAAATTTTGACAATTTTACAAATTTTTATTATTATTCCAAGAAAAAAACAAACAAATAATAATAACAACATATATATTATTAATATAATATTTTTAATCTTAGTTATTATTATATTAGAATTTAAAATTTTTTTATTAAGTTTTATTTATTCAAATGTCGACAGTTATTTCTTCTAGCCCCCTTGCTCTAAGACCTGATTCTTTAAGATTCCAAAATTTTATTGGAGAAAAGAAGAACAAGCCATCTATCACCACCACTTCCACCACCTCCATTTCTTCTCCTAGTTCTAGTGTTTCGTTAAATATGTTTCAAGAACATGACGAAGAAATATTAAACAATAGTGATATCGAATTCGAAGAATTCGATTATGATAATTATAATTATAATAATAATAATAGTAATAGTAATGAAGTAGCTGAAGGTTTAGGAATAAAATTAAATTACGATATTAATATTGAAGTAAATGGAAAAGAGGGAAAAGATAGCATCGAGAATATAAATGACAATGACGATAATATTGATAATGATCAAAATAATAACAAACTCAACAATGAAAAAACAAAAAAAAACCAAGCTCCTCATTTTGAATACGTCTCCTATGACAAAGTTCAAGATCTATATGAACAAAGAAAAGGTCATTTCTATTTCATCCCTGAAGGTTTCGAGCCTGTCTTGGTACCAAATGATACAGCAGCTCAAACAGTAACAAATCTTTTGGAATCAACAAAACCGGTCTCAGCTACTCCAAATGTATCAAGAATGCTTCCTGACACCGATGTTCGTCTTCCTTCATATGCACTACCATGTGGCGTCAATACAAATTCAAAGAAAGACAATGCTAACGCAAACAAGGCCAACAGCAAACCAAAGAAAACTCCACGACCTCCGAACGCCTTTATCCTCTACAGAAGAGCAAAGCAACCAGTTATAGTTGCTCAAAATGCTGGAATCTCTAATAATGATGTTTCCAAAGAAATTGGAAAAATGTGGCATGAAGAATCTTTGGAAGTTAGACTCAAGTATCAGAAGTTGGCAGAAAAGGCCAAAGAAGAGCACACAAAGAGATTTCCTGAGTACAAATATAGACCTCGCCGTCCACAAGACAAGAAACGTCATTTACAACAACCACCACCACCAACAGCTCACGTAGGGAAAGAGAGTTACAAAGGAAGTGAAGAGGGAAGAGAAGGAAAAATAAACAATCTTAATATTAACAATGTTGATAATAGCAATATTGAAGATAACAATATTGATAATAGCAATATCGATAATGATATTAATGATTTCTTAATACACAATTATAATAATAATGGATCATTCTACAACAACGACAACAATTATCATCATCAAGATCAGCAATATCAATTATTATCAACTCAAGCACAAATATTCTATCAAAATCAAATGAACGAAATTCCACAAATTAACGCATTCTCAGCAATTGATAACAATACTGATATTGATCTTACTAGCAATGATATTGACGGTGATAATAACAATAATCAATTTACCGCATATCTTCAAAACAATAATAACCTGATGGATTTCTCGCTATTTCAAGAACTTCAACAAAGCCATAACATTGACTTCAATAATTATAATCTTCCCCTCGCTTATAATTACAATAACAATAATCTCTTTGCAACAAAACCTGATTATTAATTAGTCTTAAGATTTATTATTATTATTTTCTATTTTATAATAATCACGAATAATATGTATATATAATTTTCATTATTAATAATTTTTCATAATTTTTAACTTACAAATTAATTTATTAGTCATATCTGTTAAAAAAAAAAAAGCAAAAAAAAATTTTATATGCAATTTTTTTTTTTTAAGATTTGTTTTATGAAGATTCTATTTACATTTTACATTTCATTTAATTAACAATAATATAATAATAATATGCAAAAAAAAAAAACGATAAGATTTTTTTCCATATTTTCATTTAATCATCATTACTTCTTTAGCATCAATTTCACACATTATAAATATATTTACACACACATGTATATTTGATACACTCGCACTTTCACACTCACACACATATGCATATACTTTCATTCATTATAATACATGATTTATAATTTGTTTTTTTAAAATAATAAATAAAAAGGCGCCAACTTTTAAAATAAAGTATCGGTGAATCCCGAATTTTTATCTGTTTTAATTAATATAAATGGCTATATTTTTTATATGACTCGTATGACTCATTTGTATCCATCATTTCATTACATGACTCGATATTATTCATTATACTTATTTATTTATCTGACGAAAAATTTTTTTTTAAAGTCGTTTCAATATTATTATCATCAACGTTTATTATTTATATATAGTGACATCATTAACGTAATTAATGATTATAATTATTATTTATTAAAAAGTACTATGTTTCTGTCATATACAAAAAAAAAATATCCCATATATAATATGTATTACTTCTTTCTCCTCTCAACCTCTCTTCTTACTTATCCCTGAATTATAATTTTAATATCTCCTTGATGATGATGATGGACTGGATGATCTTTCACGTCTTCTACTACTCCCAATCCTACTTCTAGTTGATGTACGATCTCTTGTTTCTCTATCTGGCAAACTAACAGTTGTATTGACAGGTGGTCTTATAAATGCAAAATCACAGAATAACGTTTTACCAAGAAATTTTGTTCCATTAATTCCATCAATTGCTTTCTTTGCTTCTTTATAAGTTTCATATTCAACTAATGCATACCCCTATATGCGTATATAAAATTTTTTTTGAGGAAAAATAAATGTCAAATTCTTAAAAAATTACACGTGCGTGAATAAATACCTTTGCATAACCAGTTCTACGATCTAAATTGAGATGTAAATTTTGTATTTCTCCATAATCTGCAAATTTATCTGTGACATCATCTTCTGTAGCTTCTTCATGAAGTCCCACAACAAGAACTATCCATCCTTCAACAGCTATATATATTATATTAATTTTTATTTTTTTTAAAAAAATTAAAAGTTATCGTGAAATTTTGAAAAAATCAAACATTAACATCTTTGTGCTCGTCCTGTTACAGCATCTTCTTCCGTGGTCGATTCAAATTGATCGTATTTAGCGCTAGACCTCACACCATCTCTAGATTCTTATTCAAGAAAGAAAAAAAAAAGTATAAACTTCGAATCTTTTTTTAAACATTATTAATGAAATTTTAAAAAGTAAGATTTATTTAATAAAATACCTTTTGAATCACTTCTAAAACCACGTCCTTTACGTTTAACTGTAGACGATCTAGAGTCTTTAACGCATAAAAAGATTAAATTAAAAAGCAATCAATATCAAAATTTTCAATAAAGTGAATAAGCGTCACTCTTTCAAGATCTAAAAGATCTATGACGCAATTTAACATTAACCTTCATCAACCATCATAGCATCATCATCATCGCCAGTATTTATGTCTATATCATAGTCTGTCATTGTTTTTTTTAATTATTAATGTTTGATAAAAATAGTTTAATCTATTAAATGTAACACAACAAATTGATATGGTACAGCGGCTATAGATATAATAACATCTTTCAAATAGTATTAGTTTGATCTGTAAGATCAAAGTATCACGTAATTAAAAAAAAAAAAATATATAAAAAAAAATATATAAAATAAAAAATGAAACTTGAATTCAAATCAAAATCAATAATAACAAATAATGGTGGATTGTGCGTATGTTGATTTATCTCCCGATGCAAAAGAACTTGATCAACTTGTTTCCCAAATGAAAGAATTGATGGTAAAATGCATGTATATATATTTTTATATAAAATATAAAATATAATTTTTTGCGAGAGAAAATTTAATATCTAATCCTTCTCACGTAACTCTTAATAAATGTTTCCGTCTTAATTAATTTAGATGTAGATGAATGTAAAAAACCAGATTCATTGGTTGTAAACTATAAACCACCCGAAGAATTAAAACAATTAATAGATATGGATTTACCATATAATGGTATTGGTATCAATGGTAAACCAGAATTAATTATTTGATAGTATTTTCTAAATTTTCTTTTTAATTTTCTATATTTTTTCATTTTTTCATTTTTAAAAAAGGATTATTTCCAATAATACAAGATATATTAAAGTATAGTGTTAATACATGGCATTCTGGTTTTATGGATAAATTATATGCTGGAACTAATCCGGTTGGAATCATATCAGAAATGTTAATGGCTTTCCTGAATGGAAATTCTCATGTTTATCATGATTCACCTGTGTTCACATTGATTGAATATTCTGTTTCTGAACATCTTGCTAAATTGTTAGATATGGGCGAGGTAATTATTACTATTACTATTATTATTTTATCACTGCCGTTACTATTATTTAAATTTTTTTTTCAAAGAAAATACATTTATAAAATTTTTGTTCTATATTAAAAATAAATAATCATAGAATTCTGGTGGTATAACATGTGCAGGGGGGGCATTTTCTAATCAATTGGCAATGATAACAGCAAGAAATAGTTTATATCCCGAGTTTAAAACAAAAGGATACTTTGGATTTAATAAGAAGTTAATGATTTTCACGTCTAATCAAGGTCACTATTCAATTGAGAAGACAGCAATGACATTGGGGTTGGGTACTGAAAGTGTGATTAAAGTACCATGTGATGATCAAGGAAGAATGAAAGTTTATGAATTAGGTACATGTTGTGTCATATATTTCATATAATCACGTAATTGAATATTCACTTAAAAAAATAATTGTTTTTAGAGCTTTTAATCCAACAATCCTTTGCACGTGACGAAACTCCATTCTTCGTAAATGCAACAACCGGTACCACAGTACTTGTATGTATTATTTGCTAATATACTTTAGTAAATTATAATGAATATTTATTATTATCATTCAACTAAATTATATTTAATAATGACATTAGGGATCATTTGATCCATTAAGAGAGATAGGGAAAATTGCTAAAAGGTATAATTTATGGTTTCATGTTGATGGATCATGGGGAGCAAGCCTAATATTTTCAGAAAAATATAAAAAATTGATAGATGGAACTAGTTTGGTTTGTTTATATATATATATATATATATCTCCATTCAGTTTTTATTAAAAAACACATGATTAACTAATTATTTATTTTAATTCAAACCATTTTTTAAAAGGCTGATACATTAGTAATCAATCCTCATAAAATGCTTGGAATACCGTTACAATGTTCGTTTTTACTCGCAAAAGATAAATCAATATTTTCAAAGAACAATTCACTGGAAGCAAAATATTTATTTCATGGCAATAAATATGATTTAAGTGATGGTACAGTTGGTTGTGGTAGAAGACCTGATGCTGTCAAGTTGTTTATTGGATGGAAAATATTTGGTATAAAAGGTTATGGTAGTCGTATCGACCATGCTTTTCAGATGACAAATTACTTCGTCGCGTTGATAAAAAAAAACAATTCAAAATTTAAATTGGTATTGGACGAACCGCCAAGTTTACAAACTTGTTTTTGGTATATACCTAGCAAAGAAATATTGGAATTAGAAAAATTAAATCATCAGTTGTATAAAGATAAATTATCAAAGATCACAAAAGAAATACATAAAAAAATTTATGAAAATGGAAAATACATGATTGATTATGCACCAACAATTCTAAAGGGTGTTGAATTACCTTTTTTTTTTAGAGTTGTAGTGAATTCACCTTCAGTATGTGAGAAAGATTTGGAAAATTTGTTAAAGGAAATTGAAAGTATTGGTAAAGATGTTACTATGAAACTATTTGAAAATATTAACAAGTCAACCGATCGAAAAATTAATGATAGATAAAAATAAATGGTATTAAATAAAAAAGGAAGAAGATTCATAATTTATTTAAATCATGTAAAAAGAGCATCTTCATCTTCATCATTAGATTGTTAAAAAAAATTTTAAAAGATATTTATTTATTTAGCATTATTTATGGAATGTTTATTTTTTTAGAAATTATGAAATTTCATTAATTAATGTAGAATTATACTCGTACATACATTTGTATAAAGAATAGAATCCAAAGTACTTGTTAATTATTTTACCAACAATAAATTTATTGTTATAATGATCAACTGAAGCTCATGTTTAAAATGATCATTGTACATCACCCAACTATATAAATGCTATACCAAAACGGTTAAAATTATCATGCATCAATGATAGTTGCTCATTTAAAGATAGCAGCCTATTTAATAACCTAGGTTTACAACTGAGTACATGTACATACACCTGCCCAGAAAAAATGTTCTAATCGCCTAGACTCAAATTTTATCAGATGAGCCTGACTTGCAACTATATTGATACCGCACGAGATTGATTCAACCCAGAACCGTTACCATGCATCAATAACCATTGCTCTTCATTTAAAGCATGGGGTTAACCATGCCAAGTATGTGTGTACCTGTTATCTTGATAATTCATAATAAAATACCAACGATGCATGGAAACCTGCAAGTTTACATGTAATTGCATATTCATAAAATATCCCAAAAACCTGGAATTTTGCCAAACCAAGCCAGACTTGCAATTACATCAATATATTTGCACGGTAGTTAACTGCTTAGCCAAATATCAGTGCTTCTTCATAATAAAATAAAATTGCTCCAATATCTGTTGTCCCCTGGCCACCACACGGAGGTGCCAGGTTGTCTACCATCATGTATAGTTTTTGTTTGTTAGTTTTCGCCTAGTTCTCTCTGAACCATTTGTTTTGTTCATTTTGTTCAAATAGAATATCAAGTATCACAATATAATATATATTAATATTTTTTCTCACCAAATAAAACTTTAGTAATTTAAGTTTCAACTGACCCTCTTCATTGTATTGCAAGAGGCAGAATAGGTGGATAGATAAAGCCTCCCAATCCTTTTCTTGAATCACAATCTAAATGAATAAGGAGCATACCAGCAAAGCAAACATCTGTACTACTAAGGATTTCAGATCACGTAATAATTATTACTATAATAATAAATTGAAAAATACATATAACTGACTGTACTTTTCCAAATGTCATAAAATAATTATTCCCGATTGCATTCAACAGTATTTGAAAAAGTTGCACTCAAAACCCCTCATTGTTATCAAATTAATCTTATTGAAGATCAACTTGAAATAATGCCTCCAAGTCATGAAATGTATCACTTGACTTTCATTTAGTTGTAACATTTGCTTTTCTGTGTGATAAGGCCAAAGATAAAAAAAATTATTTAGATGAAAAGAAGTTGAAATTAGTGTGTAAGTTGGCAATTGGTACCATACTCACAGAAACTTGGTTGGAAAATATGGTGGTTCCCAAGTATGTTCATGCAAACCATCATATTTTCCTTCTTCTACTGGTGGCATTATTGGTCCTGACACTTCTGATATTCTTAAGACTATAAAGATAACTTACATTTATTGCAATTTTTTTTTTAATTTTGATGTGGTCTTCATTTTTTATTTTGGAAATGGGGTACATTATCAGATGAAGATAAATGAAAAGTATTCCATCAGTTGCGTCAAATTATGAGTTCACCTCGGAGTATCCATAGGAAAATGCTATGATGGATGGAAGAAGGAGTTGATGTAGGTGGACTGGTGATGATGTGTATTTGCTTTTCTTTGCTTATTATGCCTATCTAGGAAGGAGTATCAATTGATCCATTTAAAGAATCTATGTATGTGGTACTAATAATGATATCATTTAGCAAGAGCTTGTAACCCCTCCAAAATTCTTTCAAAAATTCTTCCTAAATTTAAAATTGATATGCATTTACCAATAAATATGAAGTAACACCTTTCTGCAGAATCATTATCATGGTAAATCATTAGCATTTGATATTTATAAGGCTTCAAACAGATCAGATCAGGTTTGGAAAAAATCTGATCCGATCTGGTTCTTTAAAATATTGGATAGAATCTGGTCTGGAATCTGATCTGATCTGGAATCTGAGATCTAATTTGAGATATTATGTATAAATAATAATAATAAAATTCATAAAAAATATTTATGAAAGAAATTATGAATTAAGAATTTCTATCTGATCTGATTCAAGATCTGATCTAAGGTTGTTTGCCAAAACCTCTTAATGACTGTGAAACTCTGCCAAAACTCTAATAAACAATTAGCATCTAACTTGCCAAAACTCTTCCAATTGTCAAAACCCCAAAATGAGAAAAAATAAATGTGTAACATATCGAAACTCTGCTGATTGATCTCTGGAGGAGTTTTGGCAAGAAACCATAATCTGATCTGTTTGGAGCCTTAGATATTTAATAATGGCTTGACTAATACTAAATGAAATTGATTAACATTTTCCATTACTTAGGTTTTCATTCAATAAGCAGAAAAACAAAACAACCTTTTAATAATGAATGTAGTTATGCACAAAAATTTCAATACTAGTCTTACACTAGTGTGAGATTGTAACCGATTGCCCGTTAATATTGACCAATTAGAACAAGCTTACTACGGAAGTCATGTGATGCGCTAAATATTACATCACGATTAACGATCATTCATTGTACGGTTGCGCCACACATTGCGCCACATTATACATGTAGATCATTACATTAACTTATCTTAGACTAATTGCCAACAGTACTTAGTATTAGTACTGTAGAGTAGGAACTGCGCAGTATAGAGTATTTTTGGAAGGCTCCTAGCTGTGTGCAAAGATGGAGGCCTTGGAAATTTAGGAACCTTTAGCACTCACGCATGATAATAACTTTTATAATAATTATAATAATAGTCATAACACTCACTACTAATAAACAACGAAGCAGGTCATAAAAGTATACATTGAAGAATCAAAAAATTCCAACAAATCATCAAGTATTATAAAGACTATTATACATATGACTATTTTCTGAAAAAAAAATTTTTGATAATAAAATATCATAATAATAATTATATTATTGAAGGAGTTAATATTTATGTTTGTGGAAGGACAGCTCAAATGATAAAATGTTCACAGCACAAAATGCATCCATTGTTAAATACAAAATAAGAAGGCTAGAATTTATGGGTAAATATAAATAAATTATAAATTATACATTGAGTGTGATATTATTTAATATTAATGTTTATTAATAAATTAAAGCAAGTAAACATGTACAAATGATGATATCATCACTATCATTATTGAAATCACCACCTACTGCTCAAACATCTATTGCTGCTGCTGTTTCACCAACTAATACACAAGCACTTGCTCAAACTGTTTCACCAACTACTACACAATCATTTCAATCATACATTACACCACCTCCATAACATTGTAATAAAAAATATAGTTATGGAATCAGTTCTATGACAATAGTGATTAATTTTTTTTATATATATTTTTTTTTGGTGATGTAGATACAATGATTTAGATATAATTACAAAATTTTAATAATTTTTTTTTGCATATTGCGAGTGTGTAAATTCAATTACAGCTCGGGTTGTGTCCAATAAAATATATAAGATAAAATAAAATAAAATTCCAATATATAAATCTCCCTGTTATGGCACACAGCTCAGGGTTATCAATTCCGACCTCTGATTACGGCACACAGCTCAGAGCCTCTCTATTGTGCAATCTCTCTTTATAGTACTAATAGAAGTACTGCTGGCCTAAAAATGATAAATAAAAAAAATATATACAAGAAATATTTACAACTATACCACTTGAGGCGTCCCTACAAGCAGCATAGAACAATCAAATGGGGGGTTCTAACTAATGATTAGTGGCCAACCACTAATCCTAAGAGAGGACCATGGAACAATTCACAATGGCTTTTCCTATTAACTATGCAAAGATTCGTAATAAGGTAAAATGTGTTTATTTAATTATTAACAACGGGGGGGGGGGGGGAAAGAGGAAAAAAAAAAATTATTTATTCAATTATTATTAATGTTTCATGAACATGATGATTCTCACTTGGTCTAAAACCAAGCTCTTTTATACTTCTTGAGGTATCACAAATAACATGACCTTTACAATGCTTTGTCCAATAAAATATGCTTATTAATCCTACTTTCTGTATTACTAGCTTACTAATTGCTAATTACTAATTCTCTGACTCATAATTACTAATCCTATGAGTCATTATTACAAATAATCTGATTAATAATTCGAAATAAATAATTCTGTCATAAAATAAGTTAAAAATAGAAATGATGTAATGATCTACATGTAATATTTAGTGCATCACATGACTTCCGTAGTAAGTTCGTTCTAATTGGTCAATTGGTTGGTCCACGGTTTACAATCTCACAATACACATAATATTTGTACCCATTTTCCTGATGACTCTCCAGGTAATTGTTTCCGTTTTTCTAATTCAGCTGCACATCCTTCTTCCATTGCTCTAGTTCTATATCTAGTTTGGAATTCGTGACAAAATTTGCATCAAAGGCATTATCATGATTCCAACAATCCATATCTTCCTTAACTTGAGTCTGCCATGTAGCTGCTCCTGCTACCTTACAATCATTTGCTATTCTATTTACAACAAAAGCTTGCTCCATCTCTTCTAACCAAGTAATTAGATCTTGGTCTCCTCCATAATATTCCGGGTATTTAATTCTGCTGGTACAACTTGTGGCGGATTTATTGTATTTACCACTTGAGTAAGTGCGTTGGTAAAGCTGCTGGATCCATTAAGATTTGGTTCTGCTGTTGGGTATGCTGGTTGATTTATTTGTTGGTTTACTACGGGTAGGTTTAAATTGAAAAAGCTCTCTGGGTCTGGGTATCTTTGATATCTGATACTAATTAATAATACTTCAGATATTTGCTGAACTTGTTCTGGATTGTGTTCTGTCAATAGA